AACACGCCAGACGAAATAAAAAAAAAAAAAGCAATGAAAGGACACAGCAGTTTTCTATTTTCTCCTTGAGTATGGCAGCCCTCAGAAGTGCTGAAATATCCTGCAAACCTAAATTGAACATATTGGCACATCTTAAATGTACATAAAAAATATGTTTTGTCTAATGAACAATAAAAAATACAATGAATATGATCATATTATGGTGAAGGTGCCTTCCAGCATTTTGCCGGTGTACAACATTTGGCTTTCCACATATGAAGAAAAGAACTATGATACACTGTATTGTACCGTAATGGGACATGTGGTACACCATTAATAATTATGGATTTTAATAAAATAGAATTTTTTTTGAATGTTTTATGAATTCAAATTAGCTCCAAATTAACATGACTAGATTTATGACAGAAACCTCAGTCTTTGATTACATTTCTGGTTCTTTATCAAAAAAAAGTTAAATGTTTTAGAGTTTGAAAATGTTGGTTTCTTGCCTGGTTAGGGTAATCAATTTTTATAGTCTACAGTTTTTGTTGATGTTTTTCCTGTGTTTATTCGGTTTCTCTTAATCTAGTGTTTATATGTCTATAAGTTATTTTCCCTCAGCCATTTCAACTCCCTCCAGTCATCATTACTCCTCTGGTCATCGGCGATTCCTGTTTTGTCCCATCTTGACCCTGTTGATCTCCTCGTGACTTGCAAGTGTCTAAGTTTTGCTATTTCAGTGAAAAATCTCAGTTCCATTATGCCTGTGCCTGCCTCCTGTTTCCCCCCCGAGTCCAACGAAACCTCAGTTTGAAATAGTACAATACATAAGTGCCATTCATTCTCCTTGACTCTAATTGGCTGAGATAAAGAAGAGTTGGCTTCATTGATAGTGCCATGGTTTCCACTGTGTGTTTTATTGCATATATGTGGAGTTTGAATACTTAAAAAAAGACAGAAGTGTTTTTGAAGTATTTGTTGAAATTAGCTCTTCACAAGCAGCTGTGGTCCCCAAACCCCTGCAATTACCAGGGGTCCACAGTAGCTTTGGACACAGGCTTTGGACACAGGCTATTGTAGGGCATGCACATATTTTCACGAGTGGACCCTTTAAGTCTGTTTGGATAGCAATCCTCCTCTATGCTGAGTCTTGAATTGGTTTGTGAGTCTTTTGCCTTCGTGACCTAAGTGCTCTTTTTAAACTACATGCTGATTTGAGCTTGAGTGACATTTTATTTTCAGTGAACAAAAAATGTGACTTCTGTACAGTAGAGGGTCTCAGAGAGAAGCCCTAGACCAAGTAACACCACTAAAAAGTCAAAGGATTGTGACATTTTATGGAGTTAATGTGCTAGCCTTGAAACCTATCACTCTGTCAGAGGTGTAAAAAGTCTAACAAAAACACAGATATATCTTCACACAAATAAAAACTTTTGTTTTTAAAAGGTCCCAAATTGTGTTTTCTGTTAACTTCTTACACACAGAAGCTGTCTATCTGCTCTACTTTTGTCTACTTGCTCAACTGGAGTCCGTAGACTCTATCTAGAGCCACTCTGCAGCACTTTTAATCTGTAATTGTGTCAACAGACTAAACACTTGGGCTGTTGAATGCAATTCTGACTTGAAGTCATGCCAAAAATTAACATTTAAAATTGGAGATGTTGCCTTCAAGCCCACAGTGAAATCTCTTCTTGTGAGTCAGCAGGTGATATGTTCAGTGTTCAGGAATATGTCAGAATCACATGTCAGGTTGAGGCCTGTATCAAAACACCAGCTATTCTGTTTCTTAGAAAATGCCCACTTGTCGGCCATACTTGTAAACTGGACTTTATGAAAGTGTCATAAAGTCCATGTTGTGCACCAAACACTTACCAATAAAGAAATAATAAAAGGTTCTTTCATTAGAGTGATGACAAATCTGGCACAGTGGGATGTTAATCTCAGCGGAATGTTTCCATGATTATTTCAATGCAGAGGAAAAAGTAAGACAAAATAAAAGAAAAAAACAGCACACATCTGGGACAGATGAGTTTTGTTTTCTTTTATTTTTGTTTTTAAGACAATATTCTTCCAATTACAACATTAAGAGTAATGGTTCTGAACAACAACAAAAAAAAAAAAAAACTTTCCAATGCTCACATTGACACATGTCTTCCACATTTAAAGGAAAAGTTGAATTAATTGCTGTAAGAAAGAAAGCAGTTTTTTAAATGTATTTTTTAACTAAGCTGCAAATAAAAACTTTTTTTTTAATCAAAGTTGAGTCTCCTTTGTTTTATCAGATGAAAAGTCTGTTTCATATTCCATCAGAAACAAAATGTTAGGTTGAATGAAAATCACTTAAAATCTAAATCTGCCAGAAGAGTAATTCATTTCAGGCTTAACTGCATTTTTGCTTCAACATGTTTCAAGCAAACACCTCATTTATGATTGCTTAAATTTTTACAGTCTACAATATGCTAGTAAAATGATATAGTGTAACATCCAAACTTAAATATTGTTCTCGTTCATCGTTTTTGAGCCACTCACAGGTTAGACCAGTTGGTGTTTCTCATTAGTTACCTGCTACAAAACTCAGGTGTGCTTTAGTATGAGGACATAAACTGATGGCCCAACATTCTCCTTCAGTATATTGTGAAAGACATCAAAATTCAATAATTCAGCATGTCGTAAAACAGCAAAGCATCTCCACACCATAACACCATGATTGACTTTAATGTTTTTTTTTCTCTATCATGCTTTGTTAATTTTACACGAACAGGAGATGTGTTTACATTTTCTCATCAGTCTGCAGAATAATCTCTGAAAAGTCATGGGTCATACTGATGTTTTTAGGCAGTTTTGAAATGAGTGTTTGTGTTTCTGCTCTTCTTGTTCAGCAGCAGTTTTCAACTTGGAAAATTCCCATAGATGCAATTTTTGCAAAGCCTAGAACAAATACTAATCTTAAGAGAGCTAAACGGGGCCTGCAGTGCTTTATATGTTGTTTTGAACTCTCAAAGGGATTTTGTTAGGCTAGTCTCCCCTGGGAAGATTCAATAGTGTTTCATGATTTGTCAATTTTTAGTTATTGGTTCTCACTGTGAATCACTAGAACCCAGTGTCTAAACAACAGGTTTATATCCCCTTCCATATATATAGATGTGAATAATTTGTTTCAAAGCTGCTCTTGAATTTTTTTAATCAAGTAATAAGTTCCTGTCCTTTACCCGATCTCTTACTTTATGTCGTCTGCCATATGTCTGCACCTTCTTTTCTGAATCCGTTAAACAAACAATAGAAGAAAGAAGCAAACACGTTTCACAATGCTGAAGAGCAGATTTTTCAGCTAATAAATCCATGGGAATTAAACTTTTGCTGCAAAATATTACTTTTCAGTCCAGGTTATGATATTTTTCAAAGATTCAATGGGAGAAATGGAAAGAAAAGGTAAAAAGATCCAGTTTAAAACTGGTTTTCTGTTACATGTTGACATCATCTTTTTGAGGACAGGAGTCTTTTTATGCTTGAATGAGTCACAAGTCAAGTGGCTACCACAAAAACAAACAATTCTGAGCAAAACAAAAACCCGGGGAAAAAATGCAATTGAAAAGTATTTGAAGTTTTTTCACTTTCGCACAGTATTGTACAAACACTGTATTAGCAGAGAGACATACATTTGATCAAACATTAAATGTACTTCCAGAGAACAGGAACACCTGTGGGTTTTTTTAACCTAACCACATTAAAAGTCTTTATTTCATCCTGAAATGGAATTTGATATTACCACATTGAACTGTAACCATCAGTTCCCCTCTTTTCACTTAGAATGTCAAAGACAGAAGTTAGGGCGTAACCAGAGAAGTGTATTTATATTGACTCTGGACCTCTGCTGGGACTTGTGTCAGGAAGCACCCAGAGGCTGAGGTTAGAGAGAGGAGAAAAAGGAGCTCTCCGGAATGAAGAATAGGACACTGATACAGGGATGTTCCGGTGTCCGCAGCCTCGAGGGGCATTCAGGCTCCATTTCCCAGGCTGAGCCCAGTTTGTGTCAGCAGACAAGAGGAGCAGTTCAAAGTCTGAACTAACAGATTTCTTTCCATTGCTTACAGAGAATAACATAACAGGCAGAATTATTTGTAAGATTAGAGATGGAATGCTAGGAAAGGTAAACATAACACTGTACAGCCCTACTCTAATTCTGAACTGAGGATACATTCAAGAATGATAGGCCAGTTTTAAAACAATCTGTTTGTAATACTGTACTGCTTTATTTTCCAAACACTAAGTTGTATTTCATAGTTTTTGGTATCTAAGAGTGTTAATTGTATGTACAATAGCTGCATGTCATCATCAAGTAGTACTGCCAATATATTTTGATCGAACAATGTACTTTTCTCAAATACCAACTCCATGTTTTCAGCTATTTAAATCCAATTTTTTTTCCTCCATTAAAAAAAAAAAAGCCGTGAAAGATCAAGCTGTGTAATATTACAGGATTTAAATAGTTTCATATTTTCCCAACACAGCACTTTGCTGTCAAACTTTAGATTTTTAGTTCCCAGTTCATACAATAATTGCAACTATAACCTATTTTTCTGTACCAGTCCCTCCATTCAGCAGCGTTTTATTTCTGAAAGGGGTAACTTTGTTAATCTATTTCTGTAGACAAAAACTTACTGCTGCCATCACGTCAGGCATTTTCTACTTTTTAAAGTAGCAAAGGGTAACTGATGGAGCTACTGCTACCAGTAATCTTTTGTACCCTCTTACCACAGACAACACCCCCCATAGGGGCTGTTGTCTGTTGTGTTTTTATTTCTCTCTTCCCTTTAATCAAAACCACTAGCAAATCTGGAGATAAGTGTTTATACAAAGTTTGGTTCTAGTGGGTCAAATTAAATTTTATACAACTGGACCATATGGGATGACATTTATTTGTTATTATCACTATAGAGGAATTAACCAACAATTGTCCAAAAATCATTTTTTTTGGAAAAAGAAGGGTGAAAAAAAATCAGAATAAATGGGACAAAACAACATGTTTTATACAAGCTTTATTTACAACGTGGTTTCTAAGTTTCATGGTGTCGGAAGCACATTTTCACCAGCGTAATCCTTGTTGGATAAATGTGAGATGAAATCCACCTTACTAGACATGATCTTCTGATTTCCTCAATCGCAAATATTTAAACAGCTCTACGACACTACCACAAATGTTATGTACAATTTGTCTTTCTATACAAGCAATATAAAATATTGGCAAATAGGACATTATTTGCTACTTTGGGATTCATGGAACAATAACCAGACAAGGCCCCTTGTTGTTCATTTCAGCTTTCTAATTCATTTGTCAGAGCCTTAGTGATATTACCAGCCAAATGAAAAAAAAACTCTAGGGAATACGAGGCATGTAAAAATACAGACATGATAGTTTTCAATGGGTTTCAGCATATTTATGAAAAATACTTGTTCTTTGAACACTGAAGTGAGTTTCAACGTTTTAGTTAGAGCAGCAGACCAGGTTTTTAACCCCTTCTTTATTGCCAAGAAATGTGCATTGAAAAGGACAACAAATTGGCCCCACCTGTAATCAGGTAATGGAGGTATGCAAAGGCAAAATTACAGTGGGTGGTTTGATAGGGATGCAAGGAGGAAACCAGAAAACCTGCTTCTTTTTCTTTTTACATGAGTGTTCATAATGAAGGTTTGCCCAAATTCCTGACGTAAATGTCAACAGGTCAACCACAATGTGGATGCGTTTGCAAAATATACAAACCATGTTCTGAGGATGGACGGTCAAAAGAAGTCTGTGTAACATTACTTGTAAATACAAACAGAAAAAGAGTTAATGTCGCATAATTTACAAAAATATGATTCAAATAGAAAACAAAAAAATACTGGAAACATTAGTCATCCGTGTTCTTAAATGTTATTTCAACACCGTTTTAAAAAATAGTTTTATTTGATGATCATTTTTGCTACCAATATACCAATCTCACGTCAATCGTTCATAAATTCAAAAGGTCATTTGTATGAGTGCTGCAAATCTAGTTGATGTGAGAATTAAAATGTAGCTTTGCGTCTTTTGTTCAAAAGGAAAGCATCATACTCAATTACAAGTGCAAATTTATTTGCGCAGTGTTTAAAATGAAAAGGAATTCTTTTTTCTGTAAACACTGTCGGTACAAGAACCGCAACTTTCACTCCTCTAGTTTATACTTGGAGATAAATGCTTTAATACTAGAAACCTTTTCCTTTAGTTGCATATGTTATTTAACAGTATTTTGATCTCAATTACATCCATTGTAACAGTATAAATGATAATATAATAATACTACTAATAAAAAATAAATGTTAACACTGCTGTACAAGCAAAAAATAATAAATAAGCCATTAGGTTAAAATGCATTGGATTAAAATGCAAATGGATTAAACTATGATTACACAATAGAAGAAGTATGAGTAAAACATTGGGGAGAAAATCTCCCATTAAGCCAAACTTAAGAGTTAAGTTACTGTCAAGATAAAGACAAACTGAGTTTTTTTTTTGGTGTAAATACTCAATAAACCTTGTAACTTATTGAATCCAAATTTCAAAACCTTTTGATAAATCATAAACAAAAGGCACTCAACTGGAGGATTAAACCATCTTTCGCTTTTAGGGTTTAACACTTGCAACTTGTCCATACTGTCAGATTCTGGATCAGATTTTTAATGAACTCTGGAAAATAAAAATTAAATAAAACATTTACTAATACAAAACCGGAAATCATACACACATAGCTGACAGAAACATCTGAATTTGCTTAAAAGTGAGTGAACTGCATCTTATTCCATGATCAAAAAATGCCAACATACTTTGATACTGCAAGTCTTTTAGCTCTGATAATACTGAAAACCAGACCTGAAAGGAAGATTCTTCTATCTTTGCTGGTTTGATGATTTCCTTAAAGGAAGTTATAATTACTGCAACCTTTTTCTGCCATTCCACATCATTTAACTGATTACTACTCAGCCTAAACATGAGGTTTACTTTAGGCCCTAAAGTGAACAGACTGCCCATTGGGTTACCAATGCAAATGCACTTTTAATCTAATATTGTAATTTTAAATTATGAATATAAAAAAAAAGAGATAAGCTTTTTGGTATAATTACAATCCCCGCTAAAATTGTGGCCTACACTCCAAAAATAAATTAAAAAGTAAGATGAAAAAAATTCTAATGTAGAAAAAGGGCTGGAAAGAGATGAGATTAGGCTTAATGAGGACTTTCAACTCAAATAAAAACTAATCTGTAACAACACTGTCAATATAGCACACATTATTTACCACCTTCAGCTCATAAAAACAAGGCAACAGAGGAAAGCCCCCAAAAGCTTTTGCTTTGTTCAAAACTTGCTGTGGTCTACACCTGGATTAAATTAAAATAATAAGAAAAAAACAAAAAACTCTTTAAGATCCAATCCAAAAAATTACAGCTCAGACGTGACGCAACAGTTTAAAGGGGAGAAAACTCTAAATAAGACCATTTTGCAGGCTGTACCTCTTAAATAACACATTAATCCTCTCAGTCATGCAGACTGAAATGGATCTGTGGAAATATGTCACTGAGGTATTCTGACACAGCCAGCCGAAGACAAGATCTTCATAAATACTAAACAGGTTGATGGACAGGAAATACTGGTGTACTCTGATCCCTTCTGGGATGTTTGAAACACACACTGCATTGTAACAGACTTGTTGCATGTGAAAGCACTAGTGGATGTGTCCATCAGGTGTAACAGTGGAGTTAGAAGGTATGAAGGAGGGAGGACAGGGACATTAACATCAGACTACTGGCATGGAAGGTGGAAAAAAAGAATCGGAGATTTTTTCTTTGCAGATCCCAAATCCTTCATCAGACTTGCCTGGAGATTATGATGCATAACAATGCGGAAGGGTTGTTAGTGCTCATGCTGCTGCAGCCGATAGAGGGACGGGTTATTTTGAAGGCTTGAAATAACACAGAGGGGTCATGCAAACAGTAGGCAGGCAGGTTCATGCATCAGGTGCCTCAGCCTAGCCCAGCCCGAGGTCAGGGCAGGCCACAGGGGGACAAGGCCGGGCCCAGCCGCACAAGGCTAGGAGTAGCTCATTGGCATACCAGTCATGCAGTGATATTGCTGTAGAAGGAGGAGAGAGAGATGTTATGATCAGATGGAAGAGCTGGTTAGCATAAAAAGCACCATGTCAGTTTAAAATTGAAGTTAATAGAAGACCTGTCATGAAATATTTGGGTCAAAGAGAGAATGGAAAAGGAATCTGACGCAAAACAATTTGTGCAACCCCTGCGAAAGGAGCATCTACAATTCTTATATGGAAACGTAGATCATCTTTTTCAATTCTGAATACTTCAGAGTTTTCCCCATAACAACGTGATTCAAACTTTGAAACAATGGCATGGCTAAAAACCTCTGAAGTATTTTATCTTGGAGAAAAGTCCTGCAAAATGGTTTGTTGAGAATAACAGACAGTAAAAATCTATGGCACACAAACGTTCAACACAAACCAGAACATGCTGGTAAAGCTAAAAACCAGATCCAGTGGTTTCGCTTCAGAATCCTATTATTTACTAAACAAGTTAACCAAAATCCTACCACACAGGAACATTTAACAATCTACAGTGCAGGTCAGAAGTTTACATGTCCTCATTGTTGGGATGATGAGAGACTAGGGAATTGCAATCATTACCAAAATACCTGTGTGCCACATTGTAACTGTAAAAAACTGCAATATTTAGTAGTTTACTATATTCCAAGTGTCAGGCGGACAACTGAAAGCAGTCTAACTCCCATGACACATTTAAACTACATTAGTAGCAGCTGAAATGCTGACGCTCATGTATAGTGGGGGCTTTTTGCAATGAAGAAGGAAAAGCTTCATGAAAAATGTCAGTTAATACCACAGCAATTTTCTCAATTTCTAAATATATCCAAATATTTTTGAACATGATATGAATAGGAAAAAATATTTTAAAAATATGTTGAAAAAATTACTTCCGTTTGTTTGCTATTTAAATACTCCTTGCAAACAAAAAGAAGAAACATTCCAAATAAACCAAAATGAAATAAATTGATAAAACTTTTGACCAGCACTGCAGCTCATTATGACATTCACCTTCTGAAGCATCTTCAAACCCCTGTTTTGAAAAAATAAAAATTCCCAATTATTGCTTTCGTTTTTCCAACTGTAGCCTAGTCAATCTAAAAACCATTATCACCTTATTCAGACATTTACAGAAAAAATAAAAATAGCATAAATCTTCCTATGAATCAGTTAATTAAGACCAACTGTAAAAAGGTATGTTAAATAAAACTTAAACATTAGACCTTGCTGCCAGGTAAACCTCAAGCAGGACAGTCATTCTCCTATAAAAGTGAATGTCACAGGTAGAGAAGTGCATAAATACTGCATGAAAAGGTAGAGCTGTTCCTCATCAAAAAAAGATAACTTTTCAAAAAGATGCAAGTCTTCTGAGCACCTGGGTCCAGATTAGATGAGTGGTAAAGTTTTTCACACAAAACAAGTTCAGCAAGAGGTCAGATGGAAGGGTGTTTGGAGTGATTACTCAATATAAAAAATTATGCTGGGGTTCAAATAAGGTAGAAGAAGTCTTGCATCACTGGATGGGAGTCAAGGTTAAAATAGGATTTGGCAGGAAGAAAAAAAAAAGGGTGCAAGATTTGGGCCTCCTTGCCCTGAATCTTTACCTCATGGATCTGATTGAGAAGGAAAAAAAAAAAAAAAAAAAACAGAAAATCAAAGGCAGAATCCATTAGAGATAAATGGAAATGCTGTGCCTCAATGCAAGTTTGCCAGTTAAAAGCAAGTTCAGAGAATTTAAAGAGCAGCTATTTTTTTAGTGCCCTGGGGCCATCTACCTTGCGGTAGCTGGCTGGACGTGGCCTGGGTAGGAGCGACGTGTGCTGGTTGCTTGTCTCTGTCTGGCCAGGAAGGACTGACCAGAGCCGGTGTTGGCAAGTCGGTCTTCAGCCGCCTTCTTCTGCAGAGACATGCCCTGGTAGGACACAAAGAAGAAGACCTAATTCTGTACCATCCTAAATGTAATCAGAGCTCCAGCTATTCCACAAAGAGTGAGTAAACACAGGCATATTAAATCCCTACAAAATTACATTGAAGGCTGTAGTAGTAACAAGACAAAGTGTGAAAAATGTAATCAACACACAGGAAACAGCAATTTAGTTTGCATAGAATAATTGAGCTAATTTAGTAATGTGTTATAGCAACATATAAATGTAGATGCAGATATAGAGTAGACAGGATACTTCCCTTAAAAGAAGCACATGCTCTCACACCAGTGCTCACCTGTTTCTAGTTTCTAAAGCACAGTTTTGCTGCCCTCTACTGTTACTTTTCATTCAATTATTTTTAAAAATGAAGGACTGTGCCACTGTAACGCAACATAAAAAATAATGATCTGTGAAACAGCTGAAACCCCTTACTTCTTATAAAGCAAGGCTAAAAACCCACCTGTTTACAGTTGCCTTTGATTGATCTTAACTGGAACATTAATCCACACATTTGATGTCTATTTGCTTGATGGTTGTAATGATGGCATTAGACAAAATGTAATATTTATTGCTCGTTTCATAATAATGACCTGCATCATGTTTTTATGATGTAAAGCCCTTTGAACTGCCTTGTTACAGAAAAGTGGTACACAAATAAACTTGACTTCATCTCTTACCATGTTGTACCAGGCTGAAACAATCAGTTTCTCCTCGTGATCTCGCTGGCTTTTTGTCTTGTCCATTTCTTTCTGTTTAAAATAAGCACAAAACATTAAAGTTACATTTAATAAATGATGTTTATGTAACATTATGGGCTCATTTACCTCTAGTGAGATCAACATCCTCTCCTTCTCCTGCAGCTGGTTTTTCAGGGCCTGAACTTCCGGACCGGAGCCTTGGTTCTGTTTCGGGTCCAGCGTCCGAATAACCTGCAAGAGTAAAATTTAGAACCCGTGTCACAGATGCTCGATGTGTGTAAATATAGAAATATAAAGAAGTTTTTTACTTCACTTACACTTTTTGCTTTTTCAAGATATTTCTTGTATCTCTCCTCCATCTGTTTCATCTCTTCATCTTTTTTCTTCAGAGCTTCTTCAAGCTCATCCACTCGTTGGGCTGGTATGAAAATATCTTTAAGTTTTCGACATATCCCACATAAAGTTACTCAGTTTTACATAAGCACATAAAGATGCCAGGGTGAGCTGCTGGAAGACATGTCTACCAGTGCAGACAATGCTGTGTTTTGAAATGTATTTAATAAAAAAAGATCCCAATCTGAGTTGCAGATCTTTGTTTCTGCTAATGCTACAGTTTTCCAAAGTTTCCTGAAATTTTGCTTTGCGGCGATTTTTTTTTCTTTTTTGTATTTCTGCTGACAAACGGCAGTGATCACATTCCTCCTCCACAGCTCTTGCCTTGGCAGGGAAATGAAAGTGAAAATAAGGCTTCAAACATTTCAGCAGTTAGACCAAACTCACAGCTGGCATTGTATTTAGGCTCCATTTCATCGATGATAGCATTTTTCTTCAGTAACTCGTTGTTCACTTCTTGCAACTTCTCCCTGAAACAAGAAAAAAAAAATAAGATTCATAAAAAGTGAGATTTTGGCCAAATTAGGTCAGAAGGTTTGTAGTAAGCCCTTAAAACAATCTGAGTTACACATGACTGCTCTATTTAAATGTAACTTACACATGTTCATTATATTTCTTCTTCAGAACTGATGACTGAAACAGAAACAAATGAAAAATGTTTTACAACAGAAACAGAATTAAATCAATCATTAATACACAGTCATACATTTAAACCTGTGGTAAAACTTTTATTTTTATTAGGACCTGGAAGTTAGAGATATGTGGTATTTATCATCAGTGTAAAGACCTACTATGCAAAAGTCAAATTAAAAACAAGAGCATTCAGCTCACTCACATCATCTGCTTTTGAACCCTGTTCCTGCACCGTCTTTTGGAGCTCTTCCACCTGACTCTGCTCCTCCATCAACCGCTGATTGATTAATCTAAATGAAAATGTATGTAAAACTAATATGACAACAATGTCTTGAACACTGGAATGAGAATACTGAAAACTTCACAGAAGTATATAAAATATTACACGTCTTACAAAAATATACAGGTCTCATGAGATCAACCGATCAAAATGAGAGAAAATTCATGCCTATTCCATCTTGAATTCAAATAAACTTTAAACCATGGGAAACAAATTAGAGTTTGTTTGTTTTTTGGACAGTTTTCTGCACAAACCTGTTTTCTGTCTCCAGTTCACTTTTTCTTCTGTTGGCATCTTCCAGCAGGCTCTGCAGCAAAGCAATCTTCTCGTTGTCTGATCCCTCCTGGGCCAGCTTCAGCATTTTGTTTTCATGCTGAAGGCGAATCAGATGTTCCCTGTGGAAAAGCACCGCAAGGATCAATTAGCTCAGAATCAAAATTATTAGCAGTAATCTCTAATTAACTTAGGGCAGTGGTTCACAATGTGTGGGGCGTCAGTTCCATTGCAAGGGGAGCACAGGAAGAACACAGTTCAACAAAGTTATTCTAGTTTATCTTTTTTTTAACTTTTAATCTCTGGAACATACAAGATGGTGAGACTCTACATTCACCAGGGAATACACACAGATGCTGATGTTTACTGTGAAAACGGCTAACATAAGATGCTTAAGAGTTTAAAACATAAACTGCCACTTTATGTACACAATATGACTTCAACTCTGCTCCTAAAGTCTTAACAGCTCACAGCAGGACTGCTACAAACACATTTGCAATGCTGTTCTAATAACTTCCTACTTTATAAATCAGAATAAGCAGGTCAAAGCTGATTGACCTGTCCATCTCTGGTGTATGTGTTCTAATGAACTCACATTCAAAAATACATTTATATCATCTAAATTGCAAACATTTAAAAAGGATTCTCAACAGATACTTAATGAAAAATCTCAACTGAGGAATCTTTTTTCCATTTCGAAAGCCTCCAAGATGAGACATCCTCAGAGAATTCTCCTTTCAGTGGATTTTGTCTAATTGCTAGAGTTATTTGGGTTAAGCAGCTTTTCAAAGATTGCAATTTCAGGATTTTCTGCATAATAGCCAATTGTTTTAGGTTCACAAGAGCTGTAAAAAAAACTACAGAACATAAACCCAGGCACAGTAAGAACCTCCCTTGGAAAGCTGTTAGCAAGCTGATGCAACTTGTACAAAGGTGTTGCACAAAGCTTGAAAGCGAACTATCTCATTAACCCAAAATAAGAAACTGTAGCAGAAGAAAAGGCTTATTGAGGATGTGGTGAAACACATAAGGTTGCTTAACAGATGATTCTGTTAAGCAACCAAAACATTGTGATTAACTACATGCTAATAATTAGATAGTTTCACTGCCAAAACAGCTCTGACAAGTCAGAACACTGACTGAACAGCTGAGGGCCTCTGGAAGATTCATATCGAAGTCTAATAACGCCTCAACCAGAGCAGCAGCAGACAGAATGAATGAAGTATGAAAAAAATAATTTAAGAGCTAACTGAAGGTAATTTAAAACCCCTTAGCTGTCCATGTAAGTCAATGGGCCTGAAATGATGAGGCCATGTCAATTTCAAACTCAGGAAAGAGGTTAAAATTCTGTGTGGGAAATATTGGCCTACTTATACCCTATTAAAGAACTGAAATTGAAAAGATTCAATTTAAAACTTTAATTACTAAAAAAGTAGTTAGCAATAGTAATAAAGAAAGCCTTTTAGTATTACTCGGATGACTATGTAATGGTCCGAGTAGTACAGCTAAGAAGTCAGGGGACAAGAACTTTGATGCTGCATGTGCTAAATTTTTTAAAAAGGGGTCACATATCGAGACATACTGCTGAGCCATCACATTTTCAATCTCAGAGAGTTAATCAAGACCCACTTTCACAATGCCAATTTGTTCCTATAAAGAAGCCCAAAGTTTGTGGATTTCCAGCTTGGAACAGGTGAGGTCAAAGAAATATTTCCAAAGTCTTTCTTTGAAAATAGGCAAAAAGTCTTTTGTGTATCTAGGGGCACATGATTATCGCTCAGGTGAACCAAACAGGTTCATTAAATTTAATGGAATGCCCTGAATATAGTTTGACATAAAAATAATTGACTGATTTGACTATACAGTGGATGGTGAGCCAAAGCAGGAGAGTTAAAGTTGGATCAGAAAAAACTTGACTGCTACAAAGTGACCAGAGACTCCTGACAAAACAATAAAAGATGGAACTAAAAAGTCTAATTTACTTACCGGATTTCTGGAGTGGTGATCTCAGCAGCCAAGGAATCTGAGCCTTCATTGCCCCCTAGTGGGAACAAACCTGATAAAACAGACAATAGCAGTTAATTTTGTAAAACAGATGCAGAATAATGGCTTGTGTTTGTTAATATTTTATCACAAAGGTTTTCTCTACTTGATGTAAATTGTCCCTCTTGAGCCTGAACGCAGTGGAGTTCCTCAATAGTTTCCTTAAGAGAGTCTCTCTCTGTTCGCATACGCTATTTAGGGACAGAGTTAAAGACGTGTAAATGGGGGATAAATTGCTACATCAAACAGAAAGTATACTTTGGAGGGCTTAATTTCCCTCTAAATTCAAAAGACTTTACATACATCTTTTTCTTTTTGTAGAGAGTCCACTTTCTCTTTGAGGCGTTTGTACTCAAACTCCATCTTGTCAGCCTTTTTAGATTCTTCTGAAAGTCTGTTCTGAAGTTCGACCACCTGAGGAGAGATGAGGGAGTTCCCAAAAATCACCCATCTTAAAAACTTGCAAGAGCTCCATGACTGCAAATACAAGAGAGTTTGACTGGGCTCTCTATCAGTAAAATCCCAGCTGGTCAGGTACCTGTCTCTTGTAGGTCTCCAGTTGACCCTTGGCAGCATTGGCCTTTCGAAGCTCCTCCTCCAAGCTGACATTAGTCTGCATTAACACTGTGTTCTTCTCCTCCAGAAGCTTAATCTGGAGCACAGAGAGCAATATTAGCCAAATTTATCACACCTGCTTTGCAGGCAACTTTTTAGGCCAACAAGTAAGTGATAAAAGACATTTGTCAATGTGTCTCCTGAGTACCTGTCTCCTGAGTAGCCCCATGTCCTCCAGTTTTTTCTTGTAATGTTCCACGGTGCCCTCCAGTTTGGAAACCTTGTCAGATGAGTGTCTAAGAAGAAAACGCAAAGTACTAAATGATTAACTTGATTTCTAAAAGTATTCATACTCATTCCATGTAATAAAAATAAATGTGGTTTTACTGAGATTTCTGTTCAGCTTTTATGAAAGTTATAGAGAGATATTTCCACGCATTCATTGTTCTGCAATAAAGGTGCATTTGAGAAAATTAAAGGTGTGTGAGAAAAGGGGTAAATACAAACCGTGTCACTCTGTTTATATACTTATTTGTCAAAAAGAAAGAAAGAAACTGAAAACAATAAACCTTTTCTCTTATAATCTACTGGTCAATCACATAACATCCTAATAAGTTACAATGAAGTTTTTGGTTGATGATTTTCTTCAATTATTACAAGTTTTGTTTGTTTTACTATGATAATTTTCGTGTGCCTCCCAATTCTACCTAAGCACATCCATTTCGTCCTTCAGAGATTGGGCTTCATCTGCTAAAGACGTGAGTTCTTCATTCTGGGACTTCACATCCAGGAGCTCTTTCTCAAGCTCCTCACAACGGATCCGGTAGTCGTCTTTTGCCGCCTCCAGACTAACAGAAAGTATAAAAATCAACACGACTGTAAAGAAAACATCAACTTCAGTCTATTCAGCTACTAGTTTGTGAAGCTAGTTCTCACCGGAAGGTTTCTTCTTGTAGCTGCTCAAGCTGGGTCTGCAGCTGGAGATGTCTACGTCCAGCAGGGCTGTTTATGTCCTCGATAGAGTCAGACTGGTTAAGTCTCTCCATCAGGACCTGGTTTTCTGCCAACAGACTGCTCTTCTCCTCTTGCAGAGCCGCTACCTGATACGGTGAAGGTGTTGACGATGCAGGCAAAGAACAGAAAGTGTGGGATGAAAGGAGGAAAAAGCAGGGAATCCAGAGAGGTGAACAAGGTAATGGCATAAAAAGCATTTAATGATTTGCAACTTGAGATATTCAAAATACATAGATTACACTTTACTTTCACAGAATTTAGTCCATTAGTTTCTCAAATCACTGCATCAACATATTACTCTTGTAAGTACACACCAAACACACATCAATGAGGCAAATAAACAAATTCCAACACAGCAGGAGGGTTGTATATGGCAACATGTTTTCTTTTCAGTTTGATAACTAAGGAATCAAACTCCACATGAAGCAAAGCAGAAGCTGGCTGTCGTCCTTTTCAAACAGCAAAAGCAAGAACTCACCATATGTTTTTAAGAAATTTAAATATTTTGATATGTTCAAAGGAAAAATTACCCATCATGTAATTTTCCAGTTCCCATATTTAACCAAGATCAACTTAATCTTCAAAAAACTCAGCGCTACACACAATGATCAGCAAAATCGCTCTTCTTTAAACCGTCCGGTATTGACGAGTCCTAAACTGTAAACCACCAACATAAACTATGTCACTGTGTGTCTAGTGAACTTATAGTTTCATTTAAGTTCATTAGACCTCAAAGTTTCTTGATGATATTTTAATATACTGAGATAAATGGCTTCTGATAATGACCTCTAGGACAAGTTGCATTGCTGTGAAAATTCCAAGATCGCAACAAGAATATACTCCAACTAAGGTGTGGTGGGTAGAAAAATAGCCAGAAATAACACAAATGTCTATATTCAAAATAAGAAAATAGGTTTTTGAAGAATATTCCTTATGAAATTTTGACATTCACAAAGGCCAAAAATTCCAAGATAAAAAATACAATAAATAACAGACTGTCTTAAGGGGGAAAAAATTCTGTTTTTTTTTTCCCCCTTTCATTTCAACCTTTTTCTCTTGCCATCTACTGTTGCTACTAAAAAGGATGAAACACACTGAGGTGAGCAACGCTCAGGATCATTAGTGCAGGACACCACCTGACACACTCAGACAAAACTGCAGCTCTAGACGGTGTGCTCCAAAAGCACCACGTGTAGATGTGCGCACAAACGTGTTCACGTTTGCACATGCTTACACAGTTTGGAGAAGGAAAATCTGGTGCAAGCAGGCTGAAAACAACAGCAGGACTACTTAACACGGCAATCAGTGTGGATGGAAGGTAGACAAGAGAGAAAATGAAGTTTGGATTTACCCTCTCTTCTAGCTCATTAAAGTCTAACCTCAGTCTATCACGCTCCTCTTGGGCATGGAGGGCCTTTAAAACAAGCCACAAAGTGTTGAAACAGACAGGAAAGAAATGGGAACCTACTTAAAGACAAAGAACAACAAGTACAAATTTAGATCCGCAGCTGCTTTTTTACGTTTTCCAGATCAGACTTCAACAATGAGACTAAAAAGAAAAAAATTATTTAAAACAAAAAAAATCACCATAAATTTTCCTTGCAAGGAACAAACCTATCAGGTTTAATGACATAAAATAAAAAGTAAAGAAAAAACAAAACAAAAAAAAAAGAAAGATTCTTTTTTAATATGAAACTGAATAACATCTGTTAAATTAAGAAGCATAACACAATGAGTATATATTAAAGAATTAAAAAAATTATATAAAAAGACATTAGAAATGCTCTCCCAGTTTTTAATATTTTATAAAAGGTGTCCGAACTTCTAGTAGTTTAAAAAAATGCATTGTTTTAATATTTTTTTATTATTATTATTATCATTCTAAACTGACCTGCAAGTCAAGCTCGCGACACCGCTGAGCAATCTCTTCCTTGGTTGCCAAAGCATCATTCAGCTCCTCAATCGTCTTCTTAAGCTAAAAACAGTGGAAAAAAACAACGTATTAGGGCTATTGTAAACAAATATTTTAGTAATTGAGTAATCTACAGATTAGTCTTATGATTAATAGAGTAACAGGACTAAAAACAACTAAAATAAAACATTGGTAAATCTAACAGCAATATTACTATATATCAACATCAGTCCAAAGTTATTGTTGAGCTTCCCTAACAATAACTTTTCTGTAGTTTAGAAAATTAACCTGCAACAATAACAGCTCACTTTCCAACTTAACCAGAAGAAAAGTTATACAAGAAACTGAAGTTATATTCAATTTGCAAGGCAAGTAATAACCCAGCCAGAACACGGTGCGTTAAATAATAATCAATTTGTAAGAAAAATTTGATTTTCTCAATTATTTTTTTTTTTATTAATTGCAAATTTAGATGTTTATGTAGTCTTAAATTACTTTTCTTTTAATCAGGTCAAACAAGCAAACTAAAAAGTCAAATAACAGATTGCAAAGGCACTATGTGATAAAGAGCTTCGTTTTTTAGACAATGGTTCAATTAGAACATGTCCCATTGTGTTGTGAGAAAGTTTTACTCCAGAAGGGACAGATCCACTTTACAATATAGATCGTATCATGTGAAAAGAACAGATTGGACTTCCAAACTGACGACACCCCTCAGTACACTGCTGATCTCAGTCCGTCATAAAAGAAGCTGTCATTCTTCTGGCATCCAGCAAAACGGAATTGATCTTGTTAACAATAAAAGTTTCCATACCTCTCTGTCCAGATCTACATACGAGTCATTTCCTCCAGGGGTGACAGCAGTCTCTTTACTCATTAGCTGCAGGGGGGAAAAAAACACCCATTGATTGTTTACAATAAATTAAAAACACAAAGAATGAGTCAAAATAATATAAATGTCAGAACAAAATGTCCACCTCCTGAATGGCGGTCATGACAACATGCTGTACTGATTCCTCCATCACCATTATGGTCTGGATATATTCTATGCGATGTAAAACAGCAAACAAAATCAGTCAGACCATGCTGCATAGAAACAGTTCATCTGCTGATAATCTATACCAGCTTTATTATCAGAGGGTGAAATAAGTACCTTGTTTCTGTTCGCAGTTAACAGCACAGCCCAGAATGAGTTGTAACATTCTCCCGAGTTCTGCAGCATCAGAGTGCTCTCCTATCAAATTTACATCTGGTACTGTGAAATCATTAATGTGTTGACCTAAGACCTGAAAAAAAACCCGTTAAATATTTATTCATAACAAAATCACCTAAACTCGAGAGAGACTAAATCAAAACTTGCACAGCTGCATGTTCTTACCTCCTGGTAATAGTCCAGTATGCCTTTCAAGATTTTCTTTAGATTGCTGACCTGTCAAAACACAAACTTGGTTAAATTTCTTCATTACTACCATACAACTCCATATATTTACTGTTGAGAAAGGGCAGCGCTGACCTTTAACCTCCAATTGTCCCCGGCCTCTGGCTTGATCCTTGTAATCCAAGCATCATTAAAATATGATACATCTCTTAAAAAATAAAAAAAAATCAAAGAAAATATTAGTGTTCGGCAGCATAAATGTGTCAAGACAAAAACATAACTGAGTGAAATAGACAAATAAATGGAAAAATAAATGAATAAAAGCTCACATTTTTTGCAGGACTTGGGCCATTACGACCCCACTGGTCAAATCTTCAACTGTCTTACATGCTGCTTCCACTCCAAATGTTTGGATCTATGTAAGCAGTAGGCAAACAAACACACACACACACACACACACACACACACACACACACACACACACACACACACACACACACACACACACACACACACACACACACACACACACACACACACACACACACACATTTTTAGGGTAAGCTTCCATCAGATTAACCAATGTTACTGTTTAACACAGTGGAATGTCAACATTTTGATTACTTTGTAGCATGCAAACTAAAAAGAGAACAAAAAAGTTTTTATTTTAGAATAAGGGTGTGAATTAAAACTTGTTTTTAAAGTTTACTGTGCCCTCTAGTGGTTCATAAAACACCATCGGCATTGTTAACAGGTCTGATAATATTACTGTAAATTTGGGTGGAAAGCTTCTTCATGCATTTTCAGAATTGTGTCCAAAATATCTGCAGCGCGACATAGAGTATTAATGTCCTAACAGGAAAGCAGGTGGAAAAAATCTGTCATCAGAGAATTTAAAGACATGTTTTTGTGCCAAGAAACACAAGCTAATTTTATTTGCCAGTAGAAGTAGATAGTTCAGAAAGTACTTACTGAAAGTACAATCTGAGTATATACACGCACTGTCCAAATCCACTTTACTTCTCTTCACCACTTACTTCCTGTTCCATCACCTCAATAATTTTCGGATCCTATTTTTCTTTCCACACTACCTTACATGCCATACCATCACTGTCTTTTCCCCATAGTTGCAGTTTTCTCCTGCTAGTCCAGACAGAAAATATGCAGCTGTACCGGATATTATATTTGTCAGTGTAGATGCCAATGAAACATGCGCCAAAGGAGGAGGAAAACTTGTTGCATGAATGCTGGAATTCAAACAGTAAGAGAAAAGACGAGATTTTAAGTTAGGTTGCCTCATTTTCCCGTACTGGGAGGAAATGCAAGTAGCAGCTCTAAGCTCTCTAAGAACATACAATCTGGAGTCCACTTGCTTCTCTGTTTAATTTCATTTTCAGTTTTTGGCTTCAGGATGCATTTTTATGAATGGGTCTTTTCAGCTTTTGGAAGAACGTTTCAATTTCTAACTCTAACTGGCATCAGAGTACTTGAAGAGCTAGGTTACCAAATCTCAAATGAGGCATAGAACTAACTCTTCTATTAAAATAAAAAAAAAGAGTCCAACATATTTCCCTACAGTTAAAGCTGTCAATGAAATGCCAGTCACCCACTTCTGAACCCCGTCTTTCACCTGCTGCTGCACACTGCTGCTCAGCTGGCTGAAAGCTTATAACAAAGCTAAAACTGGATTTCCCCTTCTTCCTCATAATACATCTAAATTCTCAGCTTAGCTTGTAAATGTAGTTTTGTGCATCATCTCGAGCTTGATGTATTATAACACTCTGTAGTAACTAACTAAACTTCTAATGTGAGAATATTATCTTCAAATGCATCATTTAAGAAGCAAAATAGCAAAAAGGCAGCAAACCTGGTGAAAAACACTTGAAAACTATCATGCTTAGAGAGCTTTTGTTCCATATTTATAATCAGTATGTAAAAAAAATAAAAGTTCTTAGTTTCTCATCATTTACTTTTAAAAATGCAGTTACACTTCCCTCATCAATCTATGTAATTACTGAAAGTAAGAACCTCTGCTCATTTAAGCGTACACAATATCTTCTCTAATGTCTTTGCTATGCATTTTTCTCCAGTTTGAGGTACAATAAAGAGAAACAGATATTGCTGACTGAGATCACAGATGGTAAATAGTGGGAAACGGTGCATCTCAAAACGATGTTGAATTCCATATTCATTCTGGGGAGAGAACTGAAGCTGCAGCTGCAGAGAGAGGCAGCGTGAAGAAACATTGTTCTAAATGTTTTGAGCTACATTTGCTCTGCATCATTTCCTTTTGCAGGAAAGGTGAGGAAGGAAGGAAAAACAAAGGATGAACTGGCACTTAAAAAACTAATGGCATGCAGGGAAACGAAAGGAATGACAACATTTTCAGATGGGGAATAACTTGTTTGACAATCTTGGAAACTTCAGAGGCAAATTCGAAAACAGAGCAACATCTGCTGTGGCAGAGACATATTCAGACAATTTGAAACTAGCAGCTACATGAGATTAAAAAAAAACCCAACAACAAACAAACAAAATTACCAGTTTTCCTATGTTTAATGCACTAAAAAACAGTGATCATGATTAGCAGTTTATGTCTACAAAACTGGTACACAACCAGATAAAGGACTTAAGCGATTTGATGCTCATGTGGAACCAATAGTATAGACGTAGCAGAGAGAGCGATGCTGGTGGCTTGCTTTACACATTGTGTAGCTGTGAATTGGGCCTCATGTTGCTTTTATAAAGCATTCTGTGCAGTTAGAGCTAGAGTACACACACTTTGAGATGGTTTGTCTGAACATTTCTCTGGTACTGGATTCATTATAACCCCAATCTATTACTGACAGCAATAATTAAGATTGCTGCTTAGTTCCCTGATAACTAAGCAGCAGATCTTAGTCTGATAAAAGACTAAATGTAAATGTTTACCATTTATAATTTGCTGTTTATTAAATTGCCTCTTGGTGATATGATAAAGATGTATTGAAATTGGCATAAACCGATATGCTGAACTAATCTGGAACCTAACCATCATGTAATGTGAAACAGTCAAAGGCTCAATTCAAAGGTGCACTTGTTTCAGATTACATCCAGTTTGCTTCGAGCACACTGCCCAGCACTGCAGAATAAACAGGCTCAAATGAAAAGCTAAAAGAAGCTTTAATTATATCAACTAACTCACAATGGAAATTATCGTCCACAGCTAACACAGGCCAAGTAGAAACAGGGACACCAAAGCCAGCAGGTTTATGATAAACTGCTGAAACTGAGCCTACAAATGTTCAAATTGAAGTAAACACAAAAATGAAGAGTCGAGTGAAGTCAAAGAGGAAATCCACACCTATAGGTTTGTGGAAACAGTTGGGAAAATGAAATGTTCAACCACAGGAAAGAGAATTGAAACAAAAGGCTGCAGGTTAAGTAACAGACAGTAATCAGATGTGTTCTTCAGTTTGCATCCAGACAGCATGACACAATGCTGAGGAATACAGATACAACAAAGAAAGAATGCATCAAGCTCTTCAATCAGGCACATGCCTGTCTTTGTTACACAGGCTACTGATCTATGCAGGCGGTTTGTGTGACATGTTCTTTATGACAAGTTTTCATAATAAGACATATCTGACAATTCATAATCAGTGTTGTCTAAATAAATGAAAGAAAAAAATTAACAACAGAAGGTTCTAAGTTGCATAAACAGATACTTTTGCAGTGAAAATAAATATCTTTGTAAAGAATAGATGCACCAATCAACCACTTCCAGGTTGATACGAAATTATGCTTTTTCTTTTTGCTTTCTGAGAGTTCTGAACTGGTGATCTTGATTCTTAACACATGCTACTTTTATTAGCCCCCCCAGTACCATAACATATATACAGAAGAACAAAGCTGCAGGTTCTTTAAAAAAAATGTTAAGAGTTTTACAGCAGACATGCATCAGTCAATAAGTAAAGAGTTCAAAATCAGATTGTTTTTCCTTCATCGTTTCATAATCAGTAAAAGGCAGTGTCAGTGGTTAAAATTTCAAATATTTCTTTGACCTGGACAATAAGAGATATCTGGATTTGTAATGTAAATATACACGCTTTCCTGAGATGTAAATATGTGTCCAGAGCAATTTTGATATGTTTTCTAAGAACATTGATCAAATGTACATCAACAAACATTACATTTCTAATTTACCAAACAGAGTGAGCATGAGCAGAGGTATTACATCTTTGACTAAAATGAGCTGGGAGATTTTCTCCAACAATGTAAACATGAACCACAGGAAACACGTGACTTTAGGATCTGACAGCTTTTCAACCGTGTAGTTTAGATATATAATTCCAAGTTTGGCAAGATTTTGAGAGAATCCAGATAAAACACATATTAGGGAAGCTTAGGGAAGCTTCGTGTATCTGACAGCTGGATCAGTAGAAAGAATGAAGAAGGACGAGTGAGCATCATGCTACATTGACAACAATGACAGGAATTCAGCCTCAAAACTGACACGTTAAACGATCTACAAGGGAGGAGGCTTCGCCAAAGAAATGCTAAACGAAAGCCTATTTAACACCGATGTTGTCTGGATCTACTGTTTTTACATACACCTGAGATTTAAGAACCAGAAAGTTGAGCTAGCATTAAGTAGCAGCATATTTGATTTGTGCTGCAATCGAAATTCTGCTCACACGATGGTGGATGGTGGCTAAACACAGCAAACAGCTGGCCTGCATACGTAACCAAAGTGTCATTTTCCTCTAGCCAGCTAACGTTTCCTCTGTTAGCTCCAGGAGCTATCGCTAGCGATCCTATGCTAGCTAGCATCGCCCCGGCGCCGGAGAGCTGTCTGTCATTATAAAAACAGTCCGATTTTATTATTTACCCATGTCAAGAGACTTTCGCAGAGTTCCATTCGATCCAATGACTCTGATGTACTCATGGTTAGTTCACGTAGGCTGGCTGAGTCTGCGTGGCGAAGGGAGCCCGAACTTAACAGCGAGCTTCATACACTCCCGAGATCTCTGCTGCTTTTTCAGTGTCTCACCAATCCGTCGGCCAGTGATCGGGTTCGCTGCTTTGCCCAAGCCGGCGCCTTTCGGAGGCGCTGTGGGCGGGCAAAGTCAGCAAAACTCTTAGGTTTAATGCTGTTGTTTTGTTTTTTCTATTATAATAGAGTATGTAATATGTGTTTCAGACAGATTGTTTAGCAATCAAAATCATTACCAATAATATGAGCATTTGTTTTGTAAAATTCATGCCTCGCTTATCTTTACTTTTCAGTTGTAAAATATTACTGAAATTATACAACTCACATATATTGTAGGGCAACACAGTACTTTCTAAAAAATCATATCCAGAGTACAGTTTGTTATCAGAGTTTAAGACAACTTGAAGGTATGAATTATTGTCAAGTGGAAAGAAGCTTAGTTTTTCTAAAGTGGTTTTAAAATTAAAACTACTTTATTCAACAATATAAAGGAGTGGAAAGGCTGCTTTTGTATCCAGCTCTTCTGACTCAGTATTTTGCAGCACCTCCTTTTACTTCTCGTTTAATCATCTCAGATAAAGAGAATTAAGATCCATTTTCAAGTCTTAAGGATTTAGTTCTTGACTTCAACTGTCAAAGATGTAACTCTGGAAAATGGTATGTGCAATTCCATAGGTTTAGATCAGATAAAAATGTATTAATAACTAAGGAAAGCAGTTTCCAGTAGCAGTACATCAACGATTTTGTTTTCATTTTCCTTCAAAATTCTATTTTGTTTGTTGTTCCAATGTGATAAAACGAAGAAGAGTTATTTCTGTCTTTTTTTTAAATTGCCATCAAACCAGTTAATGTTTTGATCAAGCCATTTAATCTGATCTGTGAGGAACAAGCTTGTTAAACAGCCACTGCTGCTTCTCCCATCCAGGCCCATAACGAAACTCGCACTGATTTGTCATGGTAAGCATTGACACACCAATATAATCATTCCATTGCTATTACAAGCATCATGGCTGTAAAGTAATTGTGAAATACATGACAGAGAGCCACTGGATTAATTTAAAATAACTTTGCTGTGGTGGGAAAATCTTAATTTTGACAATGTGTAGTTGCTGTGTCATCTGAACTGCTGTTTTATGTAGGGAAAAGTTTATAAAGTCTATCATAATTCCCTGAAAATACAGATGTGTGTATATTTCAGTTAAGACTGACTGCACATTTGACATAAAAGTTAACAACCTTTGACAGAAAAACTAACACCCAGCATTTTTTAATGATTTATGTGAAATTCCAGGGCGAGAACTGATTCCTCAGAGGTGTTTCCCCATATGAATCTCTCTCCAAACCAGTTCTGAGGTCTAGAAAATTAGGTGTGATAATACTTTAAGCAGCTTTGTTGTTGGTGTTGAAACAAAGGTGGAAGTTGCTGAAACACCACTGAGACAAAGTAGATGAGATCAATTAAAAAAAAAAAAGTTTGCCAAATGTTGGCATGTGCAAAATATTTATTGGATTTAAAAAGATTTAAAGTTCATGCCAAAATTGTAAACAGAACTTGACATTTACACAGCAGCTGACTTTCTCATAACTTAAGGAAGGATTTTTCTTCCAAGTGGAAACACGGGTAAAAGGAGTTACAGTTAAGCAACGTCAGAAAGACTGACTTTGTGGAAATAATAGCACCAGATTAAAATACAAATGCAGTGCATGTATTGGCATGTGGAAGGAGTGTGTGAATAGACTAAATAGTTCATTGTCTTAGCATAATCTCTCACGCACACACAAAGTGAAAAACATGGCCTTTGATATTTGGAGATCATTTTCTGCCTGGGTAAAAATTAAGAGATATATGTATTTTATTTTTTTTTAATTAACCAGCTCCTCAATTATCTGTACCCTCTACACCTCTGACCAACTGTCCTCTCTGCAGGATGAGGACACATATTCATTTTGACGCCATGAACAGTGAGGTGAAAAGGAGGGAAAAAAATGATCAAGGCTTAATGTTGCCTGCAAAAGGCAACATTTTAGTCGAGACTAAATCTGTTCATGCAAATTGGTTGTTTGAAAATGATGCCATCAAAGATAAATACGGTGAAGGGTCTGTGACTCTATGAGCTTTTTTCAATGAGGTGATGCAAAAGTCTATCCAGAATTCAATAAGCAGGTATCAGCTTCGGTCCACACCAGAGATTTGTTAAAACATTCTTGAAATTCATCTCGTTTTTCTTTTCAGTAAATGTACTTTTTACATTTTTTAAAAATATTCATCATATTGCAATAAAATATGATTTTAAGAACTTTTGCAGGAAGTGCCAATTAATGTGACTTTTGAAAGCAAAATAGTTGGTCTGTGTGGATTTAAACTGACAGTGCAACACAGTGATCTTCAGTAGCACACAGACATTTAACATTTCATTTCATCATCTGAAAAAATTACACCTATTCCACTGAAAACACTATTTACAAATAATAAAAAAAGATTTGAATTGTACATGGTAATGCCAACAGTATACTGAATACAAAAGGACACAAACTGCTGAAGAATTGACGACCTGATTGCATTACTCAAACAAAGTTTACTTTTCACAACAGAATGTTAAAGTAAACTTAAAAGAAATGACTTCACATTCATTTTTTGAAGATTTACATTCAAAATTGTCCAGGATTATCCTTTTATATTTTCAGAATGGCTTGTTCAAATAAATTTTATGGAAGAAGATGTTAAGCATTCCCTGTATGCATGCAGGAAGCAGGCTTTGATTACTGAATTTAAACTGTTGCTTAAAAGATTATTCAGAGAATTTTTCCAACTGGTTTAGCAAGCTCTGCTTTCCATGTTATCATAAAATATGCATACTTACACGTTATTGTAATGACAACAAGCTCAAACAGGAACTCTCATCATTCAACACTTGTTTTTTTAAGTGAAAATTAAGATGGAATCATTACATATAAACTCATAAATACAAGACTTCCAAGACGTCATTGAATTGCACAGTTGACCATATTATGTTGATATTCACATTACTTAAAAGATTTTTTTTAAAATTGGTAAATCTTGAAGGAGTACATTGTTCATACATGTTCATTTGACTGTAACTTGTTTGCCTGAAATCCTTCACCTTGTAAATTTCAATGGGAACTTTTGTAACAAAAGCTAATATTCACAATGTTTTGCTAATCTCTGTCCAGTCATTCGCTCATGGTCCATTTAATTAAAGTGAAGCCCTCTGAGAAAACCCAAGATTTTAACAAACTCATCTCAGATATTCATCTCTCTTTTATCCCTGTTTCTGTTTGTGGGCCTAGCCATTAAGCCTCTGCGTAACCACTTCTCTGTACATGATAGAGATGTACACAAACAGGAGGAGGATCACAAAGAAGTCGTCCATGAAGCCCAGAAGGCCGAAAAGAGCTTCTGGGAGAATGTCGAGTGGCGAGGCCAGGTAAGTGATGGCACCAATAAGACAGAGAAGAATTCGAATCCGGAACATCCAGAAGAGTCCGCCCACAGAAAACATCTCCCTGAAGGCATGACGGAGCAGGGTGGGGACGTCCCGCAGCCTGTCCATAAGCTGGCAGGAGGAAAACAGACAAGATATAAAACTATGAAAAGGAGTCTTGTAAACCCGGGCCACACTCACTGGCATCCACTGCAGATATGAAGAAAAGAAAAACTCTAAAAGTAGAAAATATGCATTTCTAGCAAAAATGAAGTGTGAATGATGTAAACTGAAAGTCACTGCTGAAAATATCAAAACTACTTGAAGCCAAGTGCAGAACAGTTGCTGAAATAAGCAGAGCAGCAGAAAAAGAACAGTCTGCAAATCTTACACAGCAAAACTGTCTGCCTAAAATGGATAACAACTTTAAATCGATGCTAAAACCTCAGATAATCAGTTTTAAAAAATGTTGCAAAACATACTGCTCACTGACCTAAAGTGTAAGATCATAGCTAACATGAGCTAAAAAGATTATGTTAGCATAAATGCAACTATTATTAGCATGCCAACTAACATTAACTTAGACTCTATAAAGTTATTAAAGTTTTATCTTAAAGTTGTCCATTATAGTGTTGGGTTTGTCTTCTTCTTGAAGAATAAAATAAATACATACAGTCAAAGTACAAGGTGATTTTTTTTTAAATAAAAATTTCAATTGAGATTATGTTGCTCCAAAAAAAGAATAGATTTCCTTAAGGTTACACAACTGAACATGACAGACACTCCAAGACTATGTATATATTACATAGTATATTCTTATAAATGTATATTCTTCACATGTTTTTCTTCATACGGGAAATACAAATATATTGAGGAAAGGTAATATGAGAATTATATTTCAATACTTCAATTGCGATATAATAAAAAGATTTTTAAAGATCTCCATAGCTTATGTAAATGCAACCTGAATAAGAAAAAAAAAAAAGACTCACAGATCTTGGCTGACCAGAAAATCTTCGGTTGTAATCGTTGATGTCTCGTAAAATAAGCTGAGGTTCGGCCTCGCCATCCTGAACCCTCTGAGGAGCGGCATGCTCATGAAATAATGGGAACAGAAGTGTTACCTAAAAAAATTACAAACAAAATACATGTCTAAGACAAATAACATAATCCAAAAACACAACTTCACAAAACATTTCTAAGAATCACTGAAATTAAACCAGTTGCTGATCAAGTGTAACAGATCTTTTATAATTACTTTAATTTCACAATGGTATTCAAGATTTTCCGGCAAACTCAAAAGAATTGTGCAGGTCAGGCAAAACTTAGTCTTCATAAGAAGCAACTGCTGGTTTAACTGTAAAACCCACAAGATTTGTTTTTCCCACAAACTTTACAGGTATTAAAACATAACAATGGCATGATTGTAATAAGGTAATCGTATGGCATCGTATCAATCACCATTTGTCTGCAGATCGGGCAGTTGATCGCACCCAGCCAGGTGCCATACCTCCAATAAGCTATAAGGCAGGAACCTATCAAAAAGACAACACATTAAACAGCAATATTGAGAAAACTAATGTTGTACAAATGTGAAGGGGAAAAAAATGACATTAATGACTCTACCAACTCATTGTTTCCTGTTTCTTACTATACTGGCCATGCCAGAAACACATGAATTTGTAAAACAGTCCACATAATTACCACAGAAAAGGTGCCCACAGTTGGTCTCCACAGGCAGCACAGCCTGTTGTAAACACACAGGGCAAGACATGTCTGTATAATACTGCTGTCGAGCCTCTGCCTGCGGATTTTCATCCTAAGAAGAAGAAAAATAGAAATGACTCAGTCATTTGCACTTTATACAAATATGTAGATGTAATTGAAAAAAAATTATAGTAATCATGGCATTTCAACAAAGCTATACCTAAAAATTATAAGTTTTTTTCCTCACCCAAATAACATTTAAATAGAGCTAATCTTCCCTGGTAAAATCATCAAGAATAAATATAAAAACAAAATTTATGTAAAACAAACAAAAAAAAGGAACGAAAACATGGGAAGCACTTTTATTGCACTATATATTAAAATCAAAAGTTTAGTTTTATGACATGTTAAAATTATTGGAAAGAAATCAAACTGATTTCAAAGTAGTATTTTCCCTTTTTCATATTTCCTATATTTCCAATTGCAAATGTTTAGTTAAAAAACATTTAAGTCTCGTTTTCCTCCTTACCTGCTCAGTTTGGAGCTGCTGTCGGACAGCTCGTACGTGCTCCTGATTTTCTGGATGGATATTCTGTTCTTCCTGTCTGTAAAGAACAAAAGGAAGTTTTTTAGTAACAAGATTCAAACAAGATCACAGGAAGATTGAAGGTGATTTCTCTCATTACATGAGGAGACTGCACCTGGGATTGTTTTGTTGACAGCTGGTTTGTAACCTATATGCATGTGTTGGTTTCAAAACACTATGAAATATAAATCAGTAAGAAAGAAATACCTAGCTGAATTTTTATATCAAGAATGATACTTCTGTGACCCCTTATTGTGCACCTTTTTTTTTTTTTGGTTTTTTTTAACAAATTTCCCAAAACAATTTAAATTAACCAGCCTAACTTAGTGGTTTACCTGCAGAGCAAAGTGAAGATGCCTGCAAGGAAGGTGAAACTGACGACCACTACAAACAAAACCTGGTTGCTAACACCCTCAATGATGGTGTCCTCATCTTGGATCAGGTAGTCCAAGTCCCCACCTCGACCATCCTCCATTATCCACACTCATAGCCTGCAACAATGAACACAGGAAAGAAGAGGAAAGTGTAGGCTACCGTCTTCACAGTTTTCTTTGACACTTTTATTTAGATCGAGGAATCATATCATATTTGTAACAAGCAGAAAAATTACATTTTCAGAACAACTAGAGCTAGAATATAAGATGCAGAAAGCAAAGATTAAGTATGAAAATACAAAAGGAAATGTAGGTGAGTGGTTCCCCCAGCAGCTGCTAGGCTTAACTAAGGGTGGGACCCCAAATTAAGTTGTGCTCATGGCTTCATAAAACATTTAGCCACCTTTGTATCAAACTCAAAGTGCACATTTTAATGGATTCTTGTTGCAATGCATGCATTTTATTTTTTAAAATTCAAAGAATGAACTCAAAGGATCGCTTACATTGTAAGCAGAGCTAACACAAAAGGTATTGAAATATAACGACAATACTTTTTAAAGCAGGCATGTCAAACTTCAGTCCTCAAGGGTCGCTGTCCTGCAGGTTTTAGATGTGCCACAGGTACAAAACACTGAAATGGCTTAATTACCGCCTCCTTGTGTATATAAGTTCTCCAGAGCCTTGCTAATAACCTAATTATTCTATACAGGTGTGGTGCAGGAAGCAGAGGCACATCTAAAAGTGGCAGGACAGAGGCCCGTAAGCTCTGGAGTTTGACACCTGTGTTTTAGTGCAATTTCAGGAACAAACAACACTTTAATCCCATTCCAAGTTTCATGTCAAAACAAAATGGGGGCGAGATTGTTAAGAAGTATTTTGGTGATTGCGTCATTGACAGGCTCACCGAACACCAAGGCCGAGCTTCTATTTTTCGAAACTAAAATGAGTGAACAGGGGTTGGCTCGTTCGCAAAAAGCCATGTAACACTTGAGAATACTAAAGATGCTTGTTAAGCCGTGAAAGCTCAGAGGAGTTTAAACACCAAGGGAAGAGAAAATGTGGTTATTGTTTAAAACTATCTAAGCATTTCTACACAGCAGCTGTGAAAGAGTCAAATAATTACAAAGTTTTACTTAAGCAACATAACTCAAAACGTAAAAATATAAATTACAAGCTTAAACTTACACCGAGCAGGGTACTTACCAATAAAGCCTATTTTTACCCGAATATCTTTCTGCAGCCGTAACCTGTCAAGTCCATTCACCCCGTCCAGGCATTTTTCTTATGTATTTTAGTAAGTTAGCCAAGTGCCCATATCACATATCATTGCATGGACAGCTGATAGCAGCTTACTCTGCTTCCTCATTCTCTTTGTTACATTCTTGTTGTTAGGATGTATTACCGCCACCTGGTGTGCTGGAGTGAGAGCTTTCGTTTCACTACAGATCACCGATGGAATGTCAGTCCAATATTAATCCTGCCTCATAAATATATGCTTAATAAAAGAAACAAAAATTATGAAGTCATTATTACCCAGTTAAACATAACATTGAAACTGGACCTTTAAATGTTTACTTTTTCAAAGAATGATAATTCACAGTCTAAGCACTAGGGGGCAATAGCGGTGCCTACAGCGTGGTGTCCTCGAACGAATAAGTAGTCACACTAATACAGTGGTACCCAAAGTGTAGTAATCTATCGTGGACTACAGGAAAAGGTGAACTTCTCTTGAGCGGACTTCTCCAGAGGTAGAAAATGCCTCGTTATGCACAGTTAGTTATGGGCCCAGCTGGAAGCGGCAAGGTAAATCTCCTGGTCTGTGGTGAGAGGTTGTGCTATGTTGTTCGGCTAACATGTTGTGATGCGGCGTGAGGCTGTACTGTCTTCTACATAAAAATAAAACATGTAAGTCTTTTTAATACAGCTTTTTATTATTGTTATTATTATTATTATTTCAGAGTACCTACTGCTCCACCATGGTTCAGCACGCAGAGTCGTTAAACCGCTCAGTTCAGGTGGTGAACCTGGACCCTGCTGCAGAGTATTTTAATTACCCAGTTATGGCAGGTAAGTTTTTTTTTTTTTAAGATGTATGTCTAATAGGAATACACATTACCAAGGAGATATGAATTAAATTAAACTAGGAAAATGTTAGTGCCATAATACATTTAACACGCTATGTTCTGTTTCTGTTTTCTCAGACATTCGTGAACTCATTCAGGTGGATGACGTCATGGAAGATGACTCTCTGAGATTTGGCCCTAATGGAGGCCTGGTCTTCTGTATGGAGTACTTTGCCAACAACTTTGACTGGCTGGAGGAAAGTCTGGGCCACGTAGAAGATGACTACATATTGTTTGATTGCCCAGGTAAATGTTCTGCATCGGAGTCAAGTTTTAATGAATGTGGAAACTTTATTAGGTTAGAGTTTATTTTAAAAACTAATTTAATTTTAAAGCACAGTGTTTTTAAAATCAATGTTCATGTGAAATGGGAAGAAAAGATGGAAACTGACAAGGAAAGCAGCAACACTGAACTAGCTGCTGGAATTTCTTGCAAGTACTTTTTATGTTGTAGGAGTAACAACAATGTTTCATAATCTATATATCAGCAAAGCAGCTGCAAGGCAGAATCCTTTTCTTCCAAAGAAACTCAAATTTGCCCTAAACCTGTAGGAGAATGAGTTATGTTTTGATCAGACCTAACTTGAACCAGTAAGGCATTTAAAAAGTATGCTTTGAACAAACATGCTGTTTTTTAACTGAAATTTTAGATTTGTTTATATTTCATTAGAATTTTTACAGGATATGTGTAACATTAAAGTTGGAAAAATTTTACCAGCTATTGATCTTGGTCATGTGTATATACATAAAACTTGGCAGGTTTTAATAAGAGTCTGTGCAGTTCTTAGATCCACCTTGGCTGTTATTTATGGAAAAGTGTCAGCTATTCATGACTGATGCAGCTCTACTCACACTTTACCAGGTCAGATTGAACTTTACACACACCTCCCTGTGATGAGGCAGCTGGTGGAGCAGCTCCAGCAGTGGGAGTTTCGAGTTTGCGGCGTCTTTTTGGTTGACTCGCAGTTTATGGTCGAGTCTTTTAAGGTAACTTTTTCTCTGTTTTTTTTTTTCTTTCCTTATTTTTTATTTATTTTTTGCTGAAGCAATATTCAAATGAACCTAACTTACTTTTAACATGCACTGATGTTTCCGTTGTCTTGCATTGAAGTTCATCTCTGGAGTTATGGCGGCCCTCAGTGCAATGGTGTCACTAGAAATTCCTCAAGTAAATGTCATGACAAAAATGGACCTGCTTGCGCCAAAAGCTAAGAAGGAAATTGAAAAGTAAGTTAGTAAGAATAAAACACTGAATACTTACCAACTTCAATGAGGCTACATTTTATTTGTTAGATTCACAACAGTAACCTTATCTGCTTTGTTATGAACCTTGCTTATCCGTGTCTTCATATGGAGTTTTAAAATATTTTGTTATATATTTACAAGGTACTTGGATCCAGACATGTACTCCATGATGGAAGATAACTCTGACACTTTCAGAAGCAAAAAGTTCAAAAAGCTTACTAAAGCAATTTGTGGATTGGTAAGTTGAGTCCTAGTTTTGGTGTTTGATGAGATTGTTGTAGTTTTATATTCAGAAAACTAAGATTGTTTATGTCTCCAGATAGATGACTACAGCATGGTAAGGTTCCTGCCTTTTGACCGTACAGATGAGGAGGGGATAAACATAGTTCTGCAGCACATTGACTTCTCCATACAGTATGGAGAGGATCTGGAGGTTAAGGAGCCTAAGGTAAAATGACAAACCAAAACATTGGACACTTACTGAAACTGAATAATTATTATAACACAGTTCCTTGCAGTGGAGCTTTGGAACCGAGTTCAATGTGCAGCAATGTTTGCTCCAGAAGAATATAGAATTCACAGCCTTTGAGCTTTTCACATTTCTGTCCAAAGGCAGTAGACTGAGGCAAAGTAGTATATTAATTTGGAACAAAAACAGAATGCCTGGTTCTGAAACTTTCAAGTGAGGCGTTTTCTTAAAGTTTTGCCGTGTATTTAGCTTCATCCATCTTCCCTTCACACATGGTATTTTGCATTTAGGCTAGACAGTTCAAATTGGGGCTCTTTGTGTTACTGAATACATTTTAGCTGGTTCTCTGAAAGAAGTGGTGCTTGGTTAACTGTCAGCTCATGTGAACATGCAGGTTTGCATTTACCATACTTAAAAACAAAATGTTTAGTAAATTACATTCAAGTTTATGGTTGTAATGCAATAAAATATGAAAAAAAAATCAAGGGTGTATGAATAATCATGGAAGGCTTTGTGTGTGTTTGTGTTTATATTTTTATATAATCGTGACTTTTATGCTTTCCCTATTGACAGGAAGTTGACGAAGAGCAGTCCAACTTAAATTATGACGAGATCTTTCAAGACAAAGTCAACAGCTGAGGATTTGCCATAAATGAAGTTCAACTGTTGGATATTCATTGCATGAATATTTGTGAAAAACTGACTGGACTTGCCTGAAAGTATTTTGTTTCTTCTTTTAAATAACTTATAAAATTTAAAGGAACCTCAGTTTTATGTTCTGTTATTTTAGAGTGGTGTACACGTGTAAATCTTTGACCTTTGGTTGATTTATTATCGATTTAAAAAGTAAAATATATATTTTTAAAATAAAATATTTCATACACAACACAGACAACTTAACCGTGTTTTTTTTAATTGGGGGCTGGGAGGACAACAGATGTGAAGGGGGGGAAAAAAGAGCTTGTGCGCGCCACCACGTGGCTGCAACGCAACACGACACGTGGCCACTTCCTGTAAAGCTGAAGGGTGGAACAAGCGGAAGCAGAGGCTTCGGGGGTGCCTGTACGTTTTTCCTGCTGAGCAGTTGGATTTATATTTCATTCAATATGCCGGTGAGTATATCCTGTGCGATGGACGACAAATATAAGCTTTCAGCTCACTGTTAGGAGTCAAGAATCTCTAGAAATACGCTACTAGATGTTGAATCCGTTTTTAACGTTAGCTCTCGAAACAAATCTAGCACAGTACGCTAGCTACTTTAGCATTCGCTTCATAGCTGCTAGTGGCTGACTCGCGACAGTACACACATTCATCTCTGTCATTGTACTGTTTTTAATGAGTTTAGCATTTTATATACACGTATGTGAAACGTTTATTACCACCGATGAAAAGCCGCGTTCATTCCGGGGGACTATAAATTAACAAACGTATTCGACAAAAATGACAGGACTTCTCTTTTTTTTTTCTTCAGGCTTATCACTCAAGCTTGATGGTCCCTGAAACCAGGCTGGTGGGAAACATGGCCCTGCTTCCCGTCAAAACACAGTTCAAGGGACCAGCAAGAAGAGACGGTGAGGGTTCCTTCATCATTGTTTTTCAGAAACGTATCCACATATTGTTGGGCGTTCTGCAGAGATGTGCGTTGTTGTTGCATGCATTGAGTTCCTGATTCATGACTGAGCTACACTTCCTTATATGGTCTGAAGAATGCAAACTAAAGTGGTACCTTTCCTCAAACTTCTGCATTTTGATTTATACATCTCATAATTGCACAGTTCTGATACCTGTATACGTAATTGAGTCATTTCAGTACTAAAACAATAAAGATTTGTGTAAGAAATTGGTTAATATGTCTAATGAAAAAATTTGTTTTTATTATTCCAGGCATAGATTCTGACATCATAGATGAAGCAATCTACTACTTCAAGGCCAATGTTTTCTTTAAGAATTACGAAATCAAGGTAAGAGATCAAGAAATCACAAAAAAATTTAATTATGAACCTTTATGCACTCTTAATAGAGTGCATAAAGGTAATGTGTGTGTATGTTTGTGACAATGTAATGTTGTTGATTAACTCTCTGTTTTCTTAAAACTATACAATGAGGTTAGGGACTTTAAGAAACACAAAGACAAAAAGCTAGAGTTCCCAAAAACGCTTAAAAGCTTATTTTGTAATTGTAACCAAATGGAGCTCAATTGTGACGCATACAGCTTGTGCCTTGGTAATCTGTGTCTTTCAGCAGCTGAGTATTTCATGTTTCTCCACATGCCCTGGCTTGCTTTATCTTGTACCTTTGTAACAACACAGTCTTGTAGGAGTTGCTTTGGATTTTTAAAGGCAAAAGAATTTTTAAAGGCATGACAGGAAAGGCTCATCATTGAGCCTTTCCTGTCATGCTTGTCACCCTTGAGTAGTTATATTCATTGAAATCCTGAAGTCCAAACATCTGTCACCAGAATAGCTTACTTTATATTACAGATTCATGCACTGGTTCTGCAAGTTTTGTTATTCTAC